GTGCAGGTCAAACCCAACGTGCACGCTCTCTCCAGAGAGACGAAGCCGTGCAGGAGGAAATAACACGTTTTGTCCATGGCAACAACACAACTAATAACACAGTGATGAACACAGAAATCATTATTCTGCTGCAGCGGCACCAGCTTCTCAAAAGCTGAACGCCGGGCCGAGACCCCGCGCTATTTCTGGTATCGAGTCATGTGAACTCCCGACATGTGAATGTGTGAAGCTGCAGCTCCACAAACTGAGGATACGATTGCTCCACGACAGATGTGCATGTGTTTTTACTTTGTTTAATGTGAGGCTCCTCTGTAGATCTCACGGTGAACAGACGTCGGCAAATGGTTTCAGTTTACGTTACTGACGCAGACAAATAAAACATTTGGGTACAAGCTATAAAACACACGATATATTCGAAACACGAGGATATTAGAAGGCGATAGAATCGTCATTCAAATGTTCTTTTATTGGGAAGTGAATTCATTTCAGTCCCTCAGTCGTATTTCTCTTCTCCTGCCGGTGAGCACACCGTGTGGTATTATTATGTAATTATAGTCTTTAGTTCAACCAGGAGAGACTTGGATTGAAAGTGAACATAATTCATTTTCATGCACAATAAAAGAAGATGTGATAGAAATGATTTGGTGCTCAGACCTTTTTTTTTTTTCGGGTGAGACCTTGTGTTGTGGATTAGAAGAGCCGGGGACAGTGAGAGACACTTTTTAAAATGAATGGGACGCATGGAAAGTCTTCCTGTTGACACTTTGGATATTCCACCTTACGTTCTGAAATAGTTTTCTAAATTAAAACAAGACAACTGGATGTTAGATACTTCAGAACTCATAAATACAATTGTGGATATGCGAATATCTGAAATGTTCCTAATGTAATGAATCTCTGCACAATATATCCACTGTAATGATGAAATATCAAACCCTGTTTTCATTCTGCAACGTGATTAAACTCAGGTTTCACTCTGATCGTTACATTAAAAGCTGTGAAGCCGGAGGCCCCATCAAAACACTTCATACATAACATGGAATTTGATTCAAGACATTTGAAATCAAAGGTGTAATCGTCTGGAGACGTGAGGGTTCAGTGGATCTGTGCTTTCTGATGTGACACAGCTCCTTTTTTAGAAAACCTGCGCTTGAACCAACCCGACGGACGGTGGCAGCTCTTCATCGACCTCTTCGTCCGTGTGATGCGGCTGCTTTGGAGCCTCGTGTTGGGCCCACCACGCACTCGCCTCCGTCCTCGTAAATGCTGCTTGATAACCCGTTATTTCGAAGAGAGGATGTTCAAAATGAGCTCGTGTTTCAGAATCTATCCAAACGCGACAGATGGTCCGATACACCGGCCAAAAAAAAGGCTTTTGAAATAGATCCCTGCTCTAATTCTGGAAAAATGCAATTTTGGGAGCATCCAGGTGGACGGCTTAACATGTAGTGAGTAAGTGAGAGTGACATCATCCCTGTTAGAATGAAGGAGGAAAACATTCGTCAGTGAATTTATTAATTATTAATACGAACATCTCGTACGATCGAACACCTTTGTCATCGATACTCAGCTGATACGTTCAGGGTTGTGTGTATTCAGTGTTTTTCACATGTGAATAGCGTGTTGACCGGCGTGACCTGGCGACGGTCCGAAATAGACCGAGGTCACAGACGCCTCCCACACGTTTGCACGCCGTCATACGTTGAGTTCTTCTGCTCTGTGGTAGCAGGCCTCTCTCTCTCTCTCTCTCTCTCTCTCTCTCTCGTATCCTCTGTGGTTTGATTCCAGAACGCACCGAGTTTATCTTTTTCATCCGAGTTACAATATTGACCCTCGCCAGGCGGAATCAACTCGATGGATTATCACTGATCCTGATCGCAGCTGCGCCTCTTTGGCACCTGGACCTCATTTTGGTTTGGACTGCAGGAACCATGCTTCAGTTTCTTATCTATAATCCGGATATTTGCGTTTGCTTCATTACAATGCGCAGTGTCTGGTAATCATCTGAGGGTGGTGGTGATAAATCCGCTCCAATGCAGTTTTCTGACAGAACGTTGTTCCCTTTACATATAATGAGCAAGTACGTTTGATATTTTTAGTTTGGTCCATGTCCCGTCTACTAACGTGGATCAGATTTATGAGTTGTACTGCATCCAACCACCAGGCGGTGATCAACAAGTTCAGTTCACTGAATCAATCACAGCAGCAGTTTTCTGTTTACTTTTAATATCTTGGCTAAAAGTGTTTTTACTGAGTTTCATTGGATCTATTACCGATTTGAACTTTTCCTCTGAACCCTGGAAGTAACACATCATGGTCCTACTGATCACTGCTGCAGGCTGCACGTCACCTCGCTGCTGCGGCTGCTGCATCGACCTCCGTCCAGCTCCTGGCAGAGTCACATATTTTTCCTGCCTCAACATGTCAGCTCATGAGAAAATTAGATGAATCAATCTCCTCTGTTCTGCTCATTCACTCTCGTAGTTCATCAGTCTGAGCGTCACCGTGAGAACACCGAGGAATAAGTCCTCAGAAACGATGCTGTTTAATCAAAACCTCAGCAAACGACAAGAATGATCCTCATTAACTTCTTTTGTCTCGGTTCGGCTGCAGATGACGTTTTGTAATTAATTTCATCAGCAGTGCTGCACGACCGGCGTCAGCCGAGCTGCACACAACAGAGAAGAAGCTGTTTCTGTAACTCCAACGACAATGGAGGGAAACAACAGCTGCTGAAAGCCCGTTTGTCTGTTTGTGTGAAAATAAGGAACATCTTCCTCCTCGTCTTCCTCATTCTGCAGGTGGGGTTTGACTCCAGAGCTGCAGGATCCCGACACTTTTCTATATAACAATAATAACACATTGTTTTGCGTTGCTATGATTATTAATTGGTGCTGCTATCTTCACCGCTATTATCATTAATTATAATATTACATTCAGATGATAACAGTCTGTTTAAATTCAAAACAGTCCTCTCTCTCTCTCTCTTTATTCCTTCCTCTCTCCTTCCTTTTTCTCTTTTTTCAACACAACCACCCAAGGTCCTTGCTCGTTGTGGGAACCTTTTGTCGTCTCTCAGTGATGTTGTGAGGTCGCGACCTTAAACCATGCGAATAATGAGATGATGTATAAATCTGAAATGAACAGAAAACTCTCTTCACTGTGCAAACGAAGGCTGGATGTCTCCGTGGTTACTCCCAGGCGTCTCATGAGTTTATCCCGGCGACGCGTTTAAATGTCCGAAGGTATTCAAATGATCATCAGCAGTAATAACTGATCTCATCCTCCAGATCGAAGAACCTGAAGAGATGTTTTTCAACTCAGTCATTGTTTTCATTGAACGAGGAACGTGAAATAAAGAAAGTCAAGATGAATAAACAGCAGTAATATATCCAGCTCTGTTCCTGCACCACTGTGGAAATATGTAATGTCTACATAAATAAACAATGAAAAGTCAATATGTGGTTAGTGAAGTAAAAATGAGGAACGGACGGCTCCCAAACCTCCATGTTTGGAAATCACGCATCTGTTTCTTCATGGAAAATATAATGGAGAAAACAAATGAAAGATAGAAAGAAAAAAGAAAGAAAATCAATGAGGCCTTGACGCGTTTGCACGGATGATGTGAGAATGATCAGTGAAACACGGAGTCGCATCTGAATTCTTGAAGTGTAACCTTGAAAAAACGAGAGAGGGAGTTCCCCCGCTGTTAGAAAAACAGAAGCCCGACTGGCATTTAAAAAATCTGTGGAGTTTAATAGATAAGAGGCGTCTTTGAAATCGACGTTTCATGGATAAGACCCGGGAGGATCTAAGAACCTTGAGAGAAGGTTGAACACTTGGTCTTTTTAAACGGCGAGAAAGTGAAAAAGGAGCTGGAGTTTTAGTCGGCGTCAGAAAAAGGTTGAATCCGTTTCAATGATCATCAATCAACAGTCAGCAGGTGAACACTTGTTGGAGCGGATGAAAAACCTTTTAGCAAAACATTCAATTAACATCCAGCTCTGAAATCTCTATTTTACTCTTGTTTTATATTATTTTTCTATTCACAGTTCTAAGAGCAGCATGAGTGAATGCTGCTGTGCTGTGATTAATATACAAATACATCAAAACGCTCAATTAATTAATGAAATTACTTTAAAATGTACATCGACCTTCATTTGCCCTCAGACGATGTGACCTGTTGAATTGGATGATTTGACCTGATTAGCTTTTCTTTTACCGCCCTGTCAAAAATATATTTTTTAAAAGCTCAACACACTGCAAATAGAAGAAAACCTGCAAATTAAAAAAAAGAAAAAACAACTTCATCAATATGACGACACGTGTCCTGCAAAATGTCACAACACATGCAAACACAGAATCGCGTTCAAACTGCGAAAACGACAAAGGAAATGTTTCCAGAGGAACCAAAAGAGTGAAGAACCTGAGAGTTGAACGATTTGTGAAGCTCCGTCGCCACCGACGAGCAGAAGACTCCAGCGACTCGTTTTTGTTATTTGCTCGTGTTGTTTTCTTAATGTACATGTTTGTTTGTGTTTTTTTTTTTAATTTGCAGTGCGTTAAGTTCTCCGTAGTCTCCGCTACGAAGGACGTCCTGAACAAATCGCTGTCTGTAAATCTTCATCTCACGGGACACGATCACATACAGTCCTGTGGTTCGTCATGTTGACCCGCTGGACATGCTACACGCTAGTCTTCTGGAGGCTACATGTATCATTTGATTTTCTTTTTCTGAAAGCTCAGCCGCAAAACAGCTCGGCTCCAAAGACATGGCAGCTCTCGCAGAATTATATTTTCTTTCTGAAAACATCCAGGTTTTTTTAAAGCTCAGAGCTTCAGCCATAGAATAATAACAGTATTTCGCACTCTGGTCACAAACAGGTGAATGGGGAAGAAAATTGGACTCGCACATGTTATTTTAACCGTAATGGCTGAGACCTGCACTGAGGTGGAAATGACAGAGATTCGTCATGTGTGTGTTTTTTTTTCTTCTGCAGTTTCCACGATGAACTGCTCACACTGACACGTGTTGTGACGCATCCACCACGTCTCTTCTGGATCCATCAGTTTTGGACGTGGTGACCATTTCCCCCTTTTGGAAAGGAAACACTACGTTTGGTGAATTTGCGAACAGATGATGAAAAGAAGAAGAGAGAACGCCAGCGTTCGTGCTCCCGGTGATAGAGACTCTCTGTCGGAGCCGTGGCTTCCTCCTCCTCATCGTACCTCATGTTAGCATTTCCCACCACTTGTCTAAAATTGGACACCCTGGTGAGACCGGGCCTGCCCACAGTGGTCCTCCTCTCCTCCCTCCCCCCTCTCCTCCCTCCGCCGGGCAACCCACCGGACAAATATAAACCTTTTTTGTGACTCCACACAATCACAGTGATTATTCTCATTTAAAGGTGGCGGTGGTGGTGGTTTGATGAAGGGGGTGGGGGTGGGTGGTGGTGGTGGTGGGGGGGCACGGCTTTCTAGATGGTGGTTGCCATGGATTTCTCTCAAAAGCTTTTGGTATAATGGCACATCCCACTTCTGATGTCAGTGCTCGAGCCAGGGGGGAGGAAGGAGTTGAGAGAGAGAGAGAGAGAGAGAGAGGGAAAGGGAAGGAGGGAGCTAGGAAGGGAGGGGGAGGGAGGGTGAGGGAGGCAGCCTGTTGCTCATCATCAAATAACCTCCTCGTACTCCACAAGCCTGGTGCTTGAGCATAGAGGCAGCAGAGTTAAACCAGCAGCCACAAGCATTTCATATTCCTCTCGCCCATGTGCGTCTCAGCGCCTTCACCAAACTACCGGCTGCAGAGGAAGTGACTCAGGAGCGCAGTGAGTATTTACATTTTTATCTTTTTGTGATATTCGTGCGTCCAAACTTGAGGTCGAGGGAGACCCTCTCTGCTTGTCAGTCACACTTTGACAGTTTGCCACTTTGACAGATTTTTAATATCAGCTGATTTTTCCCCTGCAGGAGAATTGTGAGATGTTTACTCAATGAGTGTTTCAGACCTCAGCACGTGATGTAGAAAATAATCAAATCTGTGCAAATCTGCAGTGTAGTACATTTTCTTTTAAGCCTGTGGTTCATCAGGGAGGTCGATTCCAACGACACTGAGTTGATTTAATATCGATTTGTCCGATACGTCCTGCACAGATGACGAGGTTTTGCATACTGGATACACTGCATGTACACCATGGTAACAACGCTGCAGCCAGATTACAGTGTGTTATGGTCTGTCAACATTTACCGAGATCTGTGCAGAGACAGTTTGTGTCCGTCTTGCTCTGCAGGCAGGGATATCAACACAGCGCACGTTGGCTTCGGAGACGAACAACCACCTCTGAAATTCTAATTTTAAAACGAGAATCGTGGAAAGAGAAACTTTTTGATTTCAAGAGCCACTTTAAGTCCTCCATCAGTGAATCATGGCTCGTGTTTTGTTTTTCGGGTGAATGCGTAAGAGCTCATTTTCAAAACAGCACATGGCCTCGCTCTGGAGGCGATGCTAGATTGTGGCCCGTGATGTGATTACCCACAATGCAAATTCCTCTCCACGACATTGGATCGGTGATATGTGATACGTAATGCATCATCCTCTCTCCCTCCTCCAGGTAATTGTGACTATAATGAGATGAACTAATGACTTTTTTCCTGTTCTAACAGCTAATAGTGGCTGTCTGATTCTCCTCTGCAAAGAAGTAATTATAATCTGCCATCCCCACGAGTCTTTATGCGTAAGATAGATATCCTGAAGTGTCATTAAAGCAGATCGAAGAGTCGCGGGCTCGGCGGCGGCGCAGTTTCCCAAAGAGATCTTCAGCGAGGGCTCAGACGGATGTGCTCTGAAAGTGGAAGTGGGATAAAGTTATTTTTCCCCGCATTCTGCAGTCGCAGCTTTTTGTAAAGACGGTGGAGGCTGGAATTTCTGGTTCATGCTTGAATGAGATTGTGGCTCTTGCTTCTCACCTGAGCTTTTACCACCACATGCTGTGAAAGAGCAAATTACGGAGACACCAAATTGCCGTAGTCACTTTTGTGTTGTTTGTGAGACGGGGTCTGTTCTGTCTGTTATATCCAGGGACAGGAACGCTGTCATTGTCTGCACTCAACACCAAACAATTTAAAGCAGTGACCTTCATGTGATCTTATTTCCCTCGTCTTCGTGTAACCGCACTTCACAGCCATCGGCCAAAAGGAGCCCTGAGTGGTTGTTTGTCTGCCTCCATTCATTCCATCTCATCAACCTAAGTACTTTTCCACTCACAGCACTTTTAATAGTGTTAAAAGTGTTTATTTTCTCTAATCGATCATTGCTTGTACTTTCTGTCACCTCAGCCCACAGGGACCTGCACTGGGTCCATGTGCAGAGATGCCTTGAAACACTGGAGTGACAGACAGTCACAGGTCTTCACCGGTATGAGGTCAGAGCTGCAGACACACACGCCACCGGCACTTTTATCAGCAGCCTGTAAAAAGAAGTTGTTTACGTAGCCCGGGGCGATGCGGTGCTAAAGCGGCTGCAGCTCTGCAGGGTAAGGCCGTGAAAAGACGAACAGTGAGTATTGGTTAATGCACAGATGCGACGCAGACAACTCACTGCCAGGCAATCTTTATATAATCTAGTTAGTTGAGTGTACAATCATCCACTCAAGCAGAGAAACGCCTGGGATGGAAACTGAAGGAGTTCGTACAGGTTGTACAAGTTGATGTGATAGTGATAGATGTGTGTTAGCGAATATTATTTGTCACAGTTTCCTGGGGCCGAGCAGACGAGGAGAGCGGAGGCACGATGAGGAGCAGTGATGCAGAAACGTGGATATTAGGTGGGTCGGCTCAGAACCCGGCCTGACGGGGATTTAATGGAAGAGGACAGACAGACAGACAGGGGACGAGATGGGAGATAAACCGCAGACAGGAAATGACGCAGGTGTGATGCTCTTTGTTAGGGAGACATTTAACTCAAAAGAGCAAGACGGGAAAAATATATTTAAATGACATTTTAAAAGGTTAGATTCTTTCTAACATTTAGAAAATGACAGTGAAGTCGTCTCAGTAAAGACGAGTCGGATGTTTGACGGTTCTGTTGAACTTTTTGACGCACGTGAGGTTTTTTCTTCAACAAAATATTCAGACAATAAACAGCCATCAGTGCAAATGTGGTTCAATATTGAAGAGTACGATGTGCACAGGGCTCTTCTCTGCACCTCAGGAACAGACTGCAGCACATTGTCAGAGTTAGGGAGACGAGCAATGTCCTGCAGGTACAGCACAGCTCCGTCCAGGGTTTTCCACATGCAATCATGCCGCCCACTCGCCAGCAAAGAAGAAACAGTTTTGTTTACAACTGCTCCTGCTGGGATTACTGTGAGGAAAGGTCTTCTGGGGTACAACTGCTTCTGGCATGCACGATTGTTTCAGTGTTTAACCAGACTTCAGAGCGAGAGACGGAGAGACAGGGAAAGAGAAGCAGAGATAGAGAGAGAGAGAGAGAGAGAGAGAGGGAGTTGCAGCTCTTGTGGTTTCAAGTCCATTTCTGGAAACAGCGGGCTCTTATAGTCCATTAGAGAACAGTGAGCTGTTAAGGGAATAGGACGTGAATCGGCTGTTGGGGGAGAACAAGGGAACATCACACAATCTGAATGGTTATTAAGCCGCAGAGAAAAAGAACAGGACAGAATCCATTTTCAGGTGACATCCATGGTTCTGAAAGCATCTTGGTGAAGAGAGCTATATATATATATATATCACGAGGACACGTTATTTCCAACGTCGGGGAGGAAAGAATATGACGACAGTAAATCTCTGAGGTCTGGAGCTTCATCAGAAACACTGATCACTCATTAAATTACCATGTGTTTGTGATTCACAGTCTGAGTCAAGTTGAATTGCAAATCCTTCATTCAGAGACAGATTGGAAACAAATCTGTCCAGTCGTCCCGTGCTTCACCGTCGCCACAAATAGAAAAAGTTGTTAATGAATGAGCTCTTCAGGTCTTTCTGGAGGACGCTCACCTCAAACAGTAGATTTCCACCAATCAGAAGCGTCGTATGGGGACAGAAAGTCATTTCTCTGCAGAGTGATCACATCTCAGGAAATGATCTAACTTCTGAAAGGGTTTCGGAATTAATTGCGGCAGAGTTGCTCCACCAGGGTTAAAGTCATCTTGATCGATATCGGTGGTGGTGAAGCTCTCCAGAGACTCTTCGAGGAGGGCACTGCGGGAAACTCATGCACAGTGCACTCAGGCAACATGGGACTCACAACCCAGTGACTCACCAGGCAATCTGGAGAACATGCCCTGTGGCTGAGCTGCGATAACGCTGGCACAGAGAGAGGCCAGACCTCAGCCGATCTGGTGGGGAGAACAGCCTTCGCCGTGTTTCATCTCTCTGCTTCTGAGATAGACTCTGCCCCCCC